CCTCTCGCACTGCTATCCCTCTAAACAGGCTCCTCTCACCCTCTCGCACTGCTATCCCTCTAAACAGGCTACTCTCACCCTCTCGCACTGCTATCCCTCTAAACAGGCTACTCTCACCCTCTCGCACTGCTATCCCTCTAAACAGGCTACTCTCACCCTTTCACACTGCAATCCCTCTAAACAGGCTACTCTCACCCTCTCGCACTGCTATCCCTCTAAACAGGCTACTCTGACCCTCTCGCACTGCTATCCCTCTAAACAGGCTACTCTCACCCTCTTGCACCGCCATCCCTTTAAACAGGCTACTCTCACCCTCTCGCACCGCCATCCCTCTAAACAGGCTACTCTCACCTTCTCGCACTGCTATCCCTCTAAACAGGCTACTCTCACCCTCTCGCACCGCCATCCCTTTAAACCAGCCGCTCTCACCTTCTCACACCGCGGACCCATTCAGGTCAAACAAGCAGCTGAGCACCAAGGGCACCAGGTTGTGGATCAAGAAGCACTCGTCCTCCATGGAGGACCCACCCGTGCCTCCCCCACCCCGCCTTCCTCTTTTACAGCTTTTTAATGAAGCCTCAGCAGTCAGGTCTGCTGGACAGCCCCTGGCACAGTTTCCCAGACGACCCTGGCGGCCCGCAGCCGAGTCACACGTTGCGATGGAAGCAGACAGAAATAAATGGACAAATAAGAGCAGATCAGGAAATAACTGCAGCCAAGAAGAGAAAAGGCTCCCAGTTCAGCCTTTAGCCTCGTTAGTGAGTGGCTGGCAAGCACCAATTAAACGGCCGACACATTCACACCACAAAATATGCTGACAGCTACCAGCCGGCATGCCCGCACCACCTGCCTTTCTGGGGGGATGCAGTTCGTGTGCCTGTGTGTGTTCCCTGGTCGGAACAGATCAGGAAGTGGCGGTCCAGCCCTAATCAGGCAATTGACAGAATAACAGGAAATTTCACTAATATCCTGATGCTAGTTGCTCGTGGGAGGCAGCAGCATGTTCAGGTCCATAATACTCTGCTCCGAAAATGGGTACAGAGGTACAATTAAGAGAATAAAAACCAGGGATTTAAGAAATGAGCAGTGAAAGCAGGGGTGCATCAGTCAGAGACCGAGCTCAACCCATGACAGTTGTACCGCCCAGGGTGAGCCACGTTAGGCCATGTGCTATCCCACAATGCCCTGCAGCTTGGCAACAGAGAGCAATAGAATGGTAGAGCTTGAAGGATCCCACGCATCTGAAACTTGAGATACCGGTTCCCTTGTTCTGTCAGCCCTGGGCTCACGGACGGAGCAGTGAGAAAACTCACAGTTTACTAAGCCTGCATGACTCTCTGGAAGGAGACTCAGTGCCCATCAACATCTGAACGCCTGTTAAACACATTCTTATTCATGGTGGAGATGACTGGCAGTCCATATGCGGGGAATATTATGGCTAAATTATAAATTATATTATTAATATGAATGAAACCTGACTCATTTTTAGCACATAAAAGGCAGGATAAAAACATGAGGGCAGTCTTGGTGACGCTGAATGGTGACGCACTGCCAAACCGCCACCTAAGGGGCACTGCCCCGAGCCCTCGGCCCCGAGCCCTCGGTCCGGGCACTAGGAGCGAGGCCAGGGCCAGCTATCGGGTCTCTGGCACAGGCAGTGAACCCGGGGGGAGAGAAAGGGAGGGGGGGGGGGGACAGAGAGCTTAAACATGACAAATAACCTCATTAGAAAACCAAACAAGTTGGCGGAGCAGATGCCGGGAATGCTAATGCTGCAGCCCTCAGAGCCTCAGCGCCAAAATGGCACAGTTACGCTGCGTGCGTGAGCACGACACACTCCGGCACCATTTGGCTCGTCCCATGACTAACAAAACGTAACTTCAACTGTTCTGATCCATTAAGTCTGAAATTACAGCCTGAATTACGCGAAAAGCACGTTCATTTGACTCATGAAAAACATCAAGCTCCATAATCTCCAGGGGAAACACCTTTATTACGGCTTTAGGGCTTCGTAGAGCCAGCCCACCCAGTACACAGGTGAGCCAGCGGCTTTGGCTACTCTCTTTCCGGATGTTTCTCTCCGATCGGGTGGCTGCAGCTCTGGGGAAGGCAATGTCACCCTGGGAAGGCTAGTGTCGCAAAGCTAACATGGCGCAGAGCGCGTCACGGTGACCCCACACATTCACCGAGCGAGGAAGCCAAACATCACTGCGCTGTATACAGAAGGACGGTCACGTGTGACGGCTGCCTTCTGGCGGGTTCTGAACAGCAAATGACAAGCTGACAATGGGAGGGAGGGCCCACCACGCCACGCACCTCTCTTTGCTGAATTAGGGACTGTGTGCGTGCACAGTCATGTTACAGGGAGTGGAGATATCCGGGGATATTGGGGGATCAGTACAGGGTGGGGGCAGTGGGCCATCTGTTCTCTCTCAATCCTCTGCCACTGCACCGGCAACTCCCCCATCAAGGCGGGGAGCCCCACGTTAACCACCCGCAAAGAACCTTTCCAGCGTAAATCCTTCTCAAGAAGATGTCAATCTGAGCGTGTGCCTGTGCCGTGTCGGGCCACGGTCACTGTCGTATTCCCCTCGCTTCTGTTTTACATATATCATCATCAGGCAGATCCAGGAGAATGCAAAGCGCATCTGCGGATGTGACAGGGAGCTCACGCAGGGGCCGTCGGACGCCATTGCTGTCACCTTCCTGCTGGGTGCGCTGCCGTGTTTGGACCAAAGCCCTGTTTTAAAGGTCAACCCACACTGGCCAATCGAGGCGGCAGAGAAGGGGTGGGGGGTGGCTGACTGACAAGGGGGCGAGATGGGCTCATTAAAACAGCCGAATGTGCAAATGCTGGAGAATGCTGTCCACCCAAGAAAATCCGGGGATAAGACAGCAAATACAGGGAAAGTGACTGGTTGGACAACATCTGTCACAAAATGGTAAACCATCATCGAACAGAGAATCAAACTTCAGAAATGGCAGGGGGCAAAGGGGTGGGGGCACCTTTTAGCCACATGTTGAGGAGACATGTCTTCCTCATTAGAGAGGAAGCTGACAGTCCTTGTTTGGCTTGATTCATTGCCACCCCCTGCTCCTGGGGCACACACACATACATCAGTGTTGTGTTTTGACAGCCTGCGGGTGAGTATGCGCTACGTGTTTCTACACCATTTTTCCATTTGTTTACATTTTGTTGCACTGTCACCCCTTAAAACCGAACCCCGTCTCCCCCTCCCCAAATACAGACAGAGAAGACTCCGAAGCCCTAACCGATTCACCTGCCCCCCACTTTGTCCCCGCCTCTTACCGCTGTCGGCTGAGAGCACGGTGACAGCGTTCGTGGGTGCGGTGTCCGACTTGGGCTGTCCGTTCTCAAAGGCGACGTTCTCTGCTTCCTGGAGCTGCCAGTTCAAGCCGAGGAGGTGCATGGCTGTGGGAGAGAGGGAAGACGGGAGTGTGCAGATGAAAGCAGTAACTTAGCAGAGCCATAAAACTCAGTTGCTCTTCTGCTGGGAGAATTAATTCAACAGCTCATCAGCGACGTTTCGTAAACGACATTAAACTCTGTCTTGCTGAGTATGATTTCATTACAAGTTTACTGTTAGAGTAGATTACATTAAAAGGTCGGCCTTTTGGGCTGGTGTCGGTGCATAACTCGCCATATAATGCTGCTCCAGCCTTTAAATCTTACGGCATTACATCCCGGCATGCTCAGGAATGTTCCGGAAGGTGATGAAAGGTTTCGGATTTGGGGCCGTGAAGGCAAACAGCACCTCAGGTGCATACGGAGCTATGAGTAGGGCAGGCTGTGGGATGAGCAGGACAACCCTCGGTGATGATAATTGTGATCTGCATGTGTCCCAGGAGTGGCAGGAAACAGGCTATTAATCAAAGCTGCGTGTGCGTCGGCACGCGTGTGCGTCAGCATGTGTGTGCGTCGGCACGCGTGTGCAGTAGCACATGGAGAGCATGCACTCTTCAGACCCTGACCAACAACACCACTAAGGGACGATGTGGACAATCTGTCAGGATAGTGGGGGGGGGGGGGTTGGTTTAGCCCCCCCATGAAAGCAGACAGGCACAGACGCTCACACATGGCAAAGCAGGCTGCAGGGGAAGGGCTGGGCCAGGCAGTTCGGGCATCCATCAAACCCGCACTGCCAGGAGCTCAAGTCACAGTGAGACTGACCAATGAGAGACCAGGGGCGGAGCTCCCCCCAGGAGGGACGAGTGACAGCTGTAGGCTTCATAATTACTCAATCAGTACCATCAATTCATATGTTTTTAACAAGAACATCAGCAGACTCACCAGATGCTTTTATTCAGCACAGTTGTTAAACACACGTACCAAACGGAACGGCTATACCGCCGCCGCGGATGCAGACCCCACCCTTTCGCATGGGGAGGGACTCACATCGCAATTGGTAAGAAGCAGATGCTTCCCAGAGAAACGAACGAGCACGTTAACGCCCCTGGCGTGCAGAGCCCAGGGAGGGGGGATAATCAGCCGGTTTGTAACAAAGACTCTGGAAAGTTTGGCTCAGGCTGCCCCCCCCCCCTCCTCCGATGGGGCCCTCAGACTGCTCCCCGGATGACTA